TGACGGAGCTATGAGCTAAAAGTTTGTATTTGATAATAAAAAAAATTAAAAAACTCAGAGCTGTTCTATTGGCCGCTATGCCGCGGCTAATAAATCATAAGATAAAATATATCATGATCAAGTGCTTATGGCACTGCCTTAAACAAACATAGGTCAACATTTTTAATATTCTAAGCTTAATATCTCACATATAAACGTGTTTGAAACTCACAAAACTCGCCTATATTAACCAAAAACGCTTCATAGTTATTATACAAAAAATATCATCACCACATGAATATTTTTTTGTGTGATTCTGGCCTGTGGTTAGCTTAACAATCTATAAATCAGAGAATCTACGGTTCGCGTCCTTTTGCCGCAAAATCACGCTCCTCATTTTGGGACCGTGGGTGCGTTATAAGAGTGACGGCCAGATCAAGGTAATCGATTAGAATAATCCAAGAGTCTGCTATAAGTGCTGTTGACTAGGTGCTTCCCTTCTAGTCTATTAGTTTAAACCTAGAAACGGCTAAAATTTTGTTTATATTCTGTTCAAATTTAGCTACTTAAACGACATCACTAGTGCTCTGAAACAAAATTCCACACTAATACATAGAAGAAAGGCATGGTGTATACTATGTTTAATAATGAAAAAATTCCACAATCTATAATTTTAATGTACTGACAAAATTGTTACGTGAACTTTAAAACTAAGTATTTACAAGAAAGTCTTATCATCATTTTGGCTGAACATTTGTGGCAAACTGCTTTTCCTCAAAGCTTTTAAAGCTACGTAGTTTTATTTTCTATTGCTTTCATTCTAACCTTTAAAACCGAAATAATGCACATATTATTTTAAGCTGAATTATGTCACTTACGTGCCTTAAAATTTAGTATCAATTCCAGAAAATTCTTACCTTCAGCGTGACAAGCTGCTTCGATTATAGCCTAATTCTAATAACTTGAGGGAAAAAAAATTACTCGTTAATTGTTTATTAGTTTGTTAATTTTTCGTATATATATATATGGGTTGTTTCTGAAACTGCTACAGTATGTTTCAGATGATTCTGACTTAACAGAGTTTACAGATTTCTCTTCTGAAAAGTGTTCTTGGTCGCTGAGCTGCTTCTGCGTTGCATCTGTAAGAACCGCCAACCGTATCTTATCTTCCTCCCAGTTTTCAGTGCGGCTGCGTTGGAAACATGCGCAGGGTGTAATTCAATAAGCTACACTGTTTTTACAGCTAGTCCCAGGATATTCTACTTCCAAAGGCTAAAGGTTAGAATAATTTGCAATATAATATGGTGCTTATAATGTTTGGTTAATTTTCGTTTTGAATTAATATGAAAAAAAGAGACTCATCCAGCATACACTCTGAATAAAGATGTATAATGGATATTATCTTATGCTTTAGAAGTGAATTCACCATAATTGAACATATAATATGTAAGTAGCACATTTTTGTTCTTATGAAATTAGAATGAAAATAATGCTTCTTGATTGATGAACAGCCTCGAGTTTCTACTTATAAGCTGATGGTAAATCCAATCCTACTTTTAATAACTGTGAAAAATACAGGATTTTATTAGAACATTACACAAATAATAAAAATAGTTATTATTTCTGTAAGTTGAAAGTGATAATATAAAAAAGTGGCATTTTGATATCCAAACACAGTGCAATTCTAATGAAGTCTATTGTTTTTATGTAGTGTCTCGAAACTTTGTTTAGAAATTCAATCAGACTTCCTTATGGTAAATACTATGGTTCAGGAAACAGTTTTTATGTGTGAGGCGTTTTCATATTCTAACATAGAAACACCTGATCAAATTATTCCAAACAAAAGGGCATCAAAGGAATAAAATATTAAATCAAGTGTGACACAAATGAACGCTTTTATTTAGGTAAAGCTGGAAGAGGAATTAACACAAGAATCAAGGAACGCTTTTAAGGACTACACTATATTTAACAACATTTAAAAGAAACCAAACACTTCGCATCCAAAAACGACATTAAAAATATACGAAGTGAAACTAATATAAACAGAAAGAAAAATCGTAGAAGATTTTATGATTAAAAAATTAAAACATTATTTCTATAAATGTTCCGGAACTCCTCTCTATCCCTACTAATTGTTATCCATATAATTCCATACCACATTTTATAATTTTATTTTATAAATAATTATTGCCACCTATATTGAATCCTTATAATTCACCAGGTATTCTACTGGGAATAACCGTTACCCTTTATAATTCAATAGATATTCTACCGGGAATAATCGTTACCCTTTATAATTCAACATGTATTCTACTGGGACTAATCATTATCCTTTGTAATTCAGCCGGTATTCTACCGAGAATTACCGTTACCCTTTGAATTTGTAATTGTTGTCAATCATACACGGCCTGGAGATGGCCTGATCCTATGGACTGAAACGTTGCAGTTTTAATTGCTAAAAAAATCCACTGCAAAGCTGATAACGATATTAATTATAAAACATCTTAGTTTTAATCTGTGATATCCGGAGCCGTATTTGTAAAAACAATGTCATTTAAAATTCTTCAGTGTTTAGTAATGTGTAATTAGATATTCAGCTATTGAAGTTCATCTTCTACCATGTGACGCATTAATAAAAGATGAAAAAGGCATAGGCTTCAAGGCTTTAAATTAATTTAACAAAGTCAGATGGTTTTTTTTTATAGAATTCACACTTCCAATCATGCATTCATGACAAGTTCGTTAGTGTTTAGTCTAAAACCATCTAATTTGCTAAATGTTCTAAGTGCTTTACTTTAAAACAATAGGGTGAAATAATTATGGGGTTCCCATTAATGTTTTTGCATTAGACGTAATTATGTTTCTGAGGATAGTGCAAAAGCAGTTAGTAAATAGACATTACTGTATAAAACAAACACTTATGTATATTGTCGTCACTGTTCAGTGGATTAGATATTTAAATTGTTTTCTGAACTTGTACCATTTGAATTTTTATAAGTCATTAAATTGAGAATGTGGCAAAAAATTCAACAGTTATTCAGCTAAAACGAAATGCGTTTGTTTGGCCCTTTATTTCTATGTATTATTCAATCAACTTACACTTTATTTCAATTTTCTCTAGTTCAGCTTAAGTTGTATAACTTACGGTGTTTAACCAACAGAAGCCGATAACAAAAACAAGGCATTCTTGTGTTTGGTTCTATCTTGGACTTATGACACAATCAAGTTATTCTATATGATTTATCCTTAACAACTTTGAGTCTTTCTCTTATTTAAGCTAACATTTAAATGACTCAGTAATTTTTATAATCCAGCCTGTATTATAACATCTGACTATATATATTCATTATTTATAATATTTTGTTATATAATAAAAACATAAAGACGAACTGTATGCCTAAAGACCTTGATAATGTGACTTTTTCTGTTCAATTAACATTTAAATGTTCACATATCTTTATTCTAGATAAATTATATATCTTCATAATTTTCACTTTCTAATGAAGATAAGTTTGCATGCTTTGTTATTACAGTTTTGTATTATAGCAGCCACAAACAGGAGACTAGAATTATCTTTGTAAGAATAAAAGCGACTATAAATAAGTAATAGCTTACGTATATAGCATTATATAATAGCTGTTTTATTAGGAAAGGTACCAGCAGATGGTTTTAAGAATAAGAAATATTTCAATCAATACAAAACTCAAAATGTAGCGCTTTGTAATCGCATTTTGCTAAAGAAATTTCGTTAGATGGAGCAATTTTGCTACTTGGGGAGGAGGGAGAGTATTGGACTGCCTTTAGACAGAGTCTGCAATCAAGAAAATTTAACATCTGATAAAAAGGGACAGATATTCCTTTCGTATAATACACTTATTTCTCCGAAATGGGGTCGAAGGCCGCCTGAACGGATCATCCGCTTTAAACACTCGCACCACTATACAGTAATGTATTGTCTATCAGTCAGTCAGTCAGTAGACACTAAAATGACGTCACATAGAGGACGCATGACATTGCAATTTATACTTTCGTGACGTAACTAAAATGTTTTTCATATCGAAAATCACGAAAAGAATTAAGCATTGTATAGGCTACAACACGGTATGACATATGAACTTCTAAAGGAAGAAATAAAAATATTTGTTACTATTAATTTTGGTTTTATTTACCCTTGAAACAGAACATTTTCGGGGACCCGTGCGGAAGTACATCTAGTGTATATATATATATATATAAGTTATAACAGCCTTTTAAAACTTGTAATTTCTATTCTTTTATTCCTGTTTGCTGAAATCTACCAGAAAATAGTATTGGAAAGACCTATTTCGTTTGTAATAATGAGCTCTACTGAAATAGTGTAAATATTGTAAAAGATAGTATATTCATTTGTGCAAAAACAAATTGTTTAGTACTAATAGAAAATTACAACTTCTGTTAACGTTTCACAATGAAAATGACTGATTATACAAATACGAATTTGGTTTAATGTGTAGTCTTTTCGACTTTAAAATTTATAAAGGTTTTTCTATTATAAGTAGATTCAAGAGGGACAAAGAATACTTACCATATCCTAACAAAATGGAAGTTCTAACATGTATAAGTTTTAAACATTTAGACACAAGATTATGCGAGAACAAATTATGTTAAATGCATAAATGCACATCACTAAAATAATGGAAGCGTACAAACAAGTTTATAGGATATCAAAAGTAATTTTTTTATCACAGAGTTACAGTAAAATACCATTGACTTGGTAAAAAAATACTACATTACTTATGAATAATATTTACTAAATTTTTTAGAATAACAAATTACATAAGATAAAACATAATACATCATAAACCTCACTTAAGGCAGCCCATTACTACATTAAAATACTTACTGAAACTACCAAAAGTACCTGAGCTCCACTACTGGGTTCAAAGATCTTATGGTGATTCATAACGGCCCTAATGTACCGATTATTATTATCCATTATTCCCAATTACTTCAAAACTACTCCAAATGTGGAGGCGAGCGTACCAAACCAACCTTGTTAGAACATTCGTTCATAGTACTTGAGCACATGTGCTAAGTTTGGGCCTGCTAGTTTGAAAGTAGAGAGTAGGAAGACAGTTTCAAATATCGCGTACCCGAAATCCTGACGAGATCTAAGACCACAAATTCCGAAGCCAGATTAAGGCTCAGCGTCCTTCAAATCTATTCATAGGCCCCATCCTACCTTTATGAGATTTCGGGGGGAGTTTAAAATCAAATTTGATCCTACTAGCTACAGAACTATAGGAGGAGTCAGCTGACCATGAATACAAAGCTACAAGCTGAATTAATATAGAATAGTTGTAAGTAAATAGGTCTATGGATCCTCTCATGGAACTACATCATTTTATAATTATAATATTTTGGCACTTGTGTATAAAGTTAAAATCATAAATAATATTCAACGTTAAACTGGTACACAATTAAAAACATTTTATTTAGGCCTATCTATGGCCTTCAAAAAGTTGACGACTCTACAAGTTTCGACGTTACAACGTCATCCTTAACATCGTCAATAGTCCAGAGCTAGTCTGAAGCAGAAGACAATGCTATTGAAAATGTTGTATTGAACTTGTTATAATAAACTGGGCGTAAGTATATGGAACATCCCGAGTAAAACGAGAACTAATTTAAAATGAAGTACATGAAGAATGCTCAGTAGAAGTAATAATATATATGGTATTAAGTTTAAATTCATTACTTAATAACATGATACAATTAAAAAATATAGGTTATTCAGAGAACATAAATATAACAATTAAAAGTGTATTAAATCATCATCTAGGTACCTATTCTGGTAAAGGCGTTTTCAATCTTATTCTCTATATCTCACATAATTCTATCAATTTATAGCACCTAAATCATGCTACAGTTCACACATACCAACAACTAATGCAAGTTCGATCTTTACAAGTATGAATATTATTCAATACATTCAGTAACTATAATAAATTCAAAAAGTAGGGTAAATACTGTCGAATATTTTACGCTTAAAATGATTTTTTTATGGTTCCATACGGTATTGAATCGCAATCTGAGGTCGCGGTTTCGAATCCCCGTCCCACTAAACATGCTTGCCATTTCA